CAAAATATTATGCCAACTGCAATTCGACACTTTTACACGACAAACACAAAATATTTCGTCAGCTACAATTCAACATAACATATCGAAGTCCCCCCTTCCCCCTCCTCCTAAAAAACGATCACAAATATTTAAGTTCGGAAATCACATTTCCATCGTTTTGTTGCGTTATAACACCAAAGAAAACGGAATGTAAGTTAATTCTATTCAAATGTCTTGTTATTAATGTGGGACTTCAATTTTCTTTAAAAATTATCTGATATACTAATAACAAACAAAGGTTTATTATATTTTAATTTATTTTATATACTCTCTTAGAAATATAAGTGACAATTATTTTATGAAGCTCAATCGATGTCTAAAACTAGGGGTGGCAAAAATTGACCCAACCCATTAATCTAATCCGAACCCAACTCAGAATTAGCAGGTTGGGTTGAGATTTTCAACCATTTTAAATAAATCGGTCAACCCGTCTAACCCATTTAAATAAATGGGTTGGGTTGGGTTGGGTTGGGTTGAATTTTTTGACCTATTTTCAATCCACTTAAAATATTATATAAATTTATTTTATTCTTAATATAATATCTATTTTATTTTTTATTTTGTTTCTTCTTAAATAAATTGGCTCAAGTTTCATGATGACTCTTTGATTTCAATCTTTCAATAATCAATTATTCATACGCTTCATTACTAATCAGTATCATGAGTCTCGACGCTTTGCCTTCAATTCTTTAATTATTCAATCTTCATACGCTTCGATTATCAATCTTTTCCCCTTTTTTTGAGTCCTACCTTCTCCAATCAAAGATTTGGGTTGGTTTCAGACTTTCAGTTTCCGATTTGAGGTTGAGGGCTTGAGGCATTGTTGAACGATAGCAGAGTAAGTTCTTTATGATCATGTTTGTTTAGTATTTTGTTGTTAAACTTCGTATAGATCATATGAATTTCATGCTTCTCTTTGATTATTTGTTACTTTATAACTCTATCAAACTTTAGTGATTTCTTTCAAGTTAGAATTTGTTATTTGTGTGGTGTGGCTATCTGTTTCTATCACTGTACCTATACCTCAGAGAGAATTGTTATCATTCGTCTTCATTGAGATAATTATACAAGCTACATATAAGTTGTTGTCTTGTACGCATGGATTACACTTGATGATGGACTAATGGTCTTAGGATTTTAGGTACTAGAGTGAAATTGGGGTTGATGAAAGTGGAAGTCGATTTACTTAGAATTTAAAAAAATTTAACTTATTTTGAACAATATATTTGTGGTTGTGTTTTATTCAAACTTTAAACAATTTGGTTGTATTTGTGGTTGTGTTATGTTTTTTATTCAAAAAAGTTAAATACTCTAGTTTTTTTTTATTTAAAATTTTAAAATTAAATGGGTCAACCCAGGTTCAACCCATTTATTTAACAGGTTGGGTTAAGAAAATTGTAAATAGGTCAACCCGTTGTCAATCCATTAACCCAACAGGTTGGCTTGGGTTGATCAAATATCTAAAACTCACACGTCCACATAACTGAGTCAGAAATGATCAAATCCAAATCCAAATCAATCCAATCCAACTACGCATACAATATGTATCTCCTTTTTCATGCCCTCCCGTTTCATTCGGAACCTAGATTTCGTTTGAATCTTTTTGTCTAATATCACGGATGTAGTATGTGACTTTCTAATTTCATGAAAAATTGTAATATATACTAGTTGTTGCTACATGCATACACACACACACACACACATATATATATATATATATCAAAATCATGTGATATCATACATTGGATATGTAAAAAGTAATTTTTGATGTTAATGTATGTAAGAGGAAAATTAGTATCACTTATTTAAAAAATAAGAACATTTTCAACAGATTTTCTATAATTTCTCTTAAAATAAAGAATCAAAAATCAAAATATCATAAATAAATTACAATTAACTCCAACATATTCTTTATTCTAGAAATTTCATCATTAATTATATTATTTAAATATTATATAATTTTATTATCCCAATATATTATTTTTTTTAAAATTTTAATATAAAATAATATTAATTCAACTCTTATTGATGCAATGAATAAAAAAACCCATTTCTTTATCCTCTCTTTAAAATTTTAGAGAATTCTCTGTACTAACAGTTTTCTCCATGTATTTAAAGCTTCCATTAACTTATGTAAAGCATTGTTTATGTTCAAATTGTAGATTGTTCAGATTGTCATTAATTATTCAGGGTCAGATGAAAATTGTAATTTATGGGCCGTTTACCAAAGTCTTACCAGAGTAAACGCTTACTAAGTCACATTATCTTACTGTATGAATATAATAAGGATCAAGAATCTTACTTGGTAAGAGTGAGACAAGGACCAAGAGTCTTACCCGGTAAGTGAGGACGACGACTCTTACCACGATAAGCGCTTACCAGGTAAATTGTTGCATACAATGTCGTTTTAGTGGACTAAAATCTTACCCGGTAAGTAAATGATAATGTTAAATTTTACCCGTAAACGCTTACCGATTAAGTGTTTGGTAAACGGCCTCTTAGTCTTTTTTTGTGCTTAACACATACATGTATCTATTATCTCATTTTACAGTTCAATTAAAAGTTTTGGGTGTAGTAGAATCTCTCAAAAGATTGGAACGTCCCTGTTTTAAACATGTTATAATTTTTCAGGTTAAAATTGTTGTATTGAATGATGCAAATACCTTCAACCAGACCGATCCCGACCACCGTACGCAACCCCTAGCCCTCGACCTCTGATCAACCCAACCTATTACAACCAAACCGCATACTAGGGGTGCTCAAAAACCCAACCAACCCGATCAACCCAACGCAAAATAACCCAACCCGAAGCAACTCGATGTCTAATCGAGTTGTAAAATTGTCAAACCGTAGGTATTGGGTTGATATTGAGTTAATATTATTTGAACCCAACTCAACCCGATGAACCCGATATCCTTTTATTTCTTGGATTTAATATGATTGTTGAATTTCTATTAATATATACATTAGACAATTACACTATCATGTATGTTACTATTATTCGGTAACTGTGAACATATATATGTAAATTGAGAAAATTAACTGAATGTGATATACGTAAGAAATATGGATAAATTGTATCAAATGGTTGATGATGAAAAAGAAATTATGAGTAAAGAAATAACATATTCAAGGTTAAAAGAATATTTTAATATACCAAAGTATCAACCCGACCAACCCGTACGGGTTGGGTTAGGTTGCATTTTGGTTTGAGTTGGGTTAAGATTTTTCAAAACCGTAAGTATTGAATTGAGTTGTTCGAACGTCTTCAACCCGATCAACCCAATCCATGAACACATCTACCGTATACCGCTCTAGTTTTACAATTTGATGTAAAATTTGGTTGGCATGGGTAAAAATTGGGGTCCACTTCATCATTCGGTCCTTTAATTTGTTCACATTGTAAATGATTGAAACATGTTTTGGATCTCCTATGTTTGACGTTTTACCCTTTTAACCCGTACCACATTCCCACTTCACCCAACACCAATGTCACTTTACCGGTTTACGAGGTATTAAATATGTACTGAGATACAAGTGACCTGTAATAAGGTAATAAAGGCTTAGGAGCCGGTTACTAAACACTTATCAAGTAAGTACTTACCGGTAAAATTTAGCACTATTATTTACTTACCGGGTAAGATTTTAGTCCACCAAAACGACATCGTATGCAACAATTTACCCGGTAAGCGCTTACCGTTGTAAGAGTTGTCGCCCTCACTTACCGGGTAACACTCTTGGTCCTTGTCTCGCTCTTACCGGATAAGATTATTGGTCCTTATCGTATTCATCCGGTGAGGTAATGTTACTTGGTAAGCACTTACCCGAGTAAGCGTTTGGTAAACGGCCTTCTTTCAAAATTCTCCTCAGAAGTTAACGGTTCGAGTAAATTAGCATGAAAACCGTGAAACTGAAAATGGTATAAACAAATCAAACTCGAATTTTCTTGCAAAAACACTTGGACCGATTCATATAACTTTAACACATCAATTATGTACTCGTGCCGCCTACTCAAACAAAAACATCGGAAATATTTCCTCGAATCAATCATGATAAGTGCAAGAATCGGTCAAATTAACACGCTTGCCGAGTTGGTTACCTCTTAATGTAACTTGGCACGAAACATGTCTATAGAACTTGGGTTTGACCAGCCTCCCCAAGATGTACGCTCTTGACCTCAGCCCGAACGTCACGTTAACCGGAACCGTAACACTCTTCAGGTGGCCAATAGCGGCATTGAAAGGCGACACCCCACCATATAGCGGCATTTGATACCCTAAAACTTGCGCCATGATCACCCTTTGGCTCTTTCTTGATTGGTAGAACTTCTTCACCTGTTTCAATCAATCATCAAACAAAGAAACACCTTCCAACTTTTTGAAAACCTGTTTTAATAAGCTTCATGGGCTTTTTAACGTTGTCATCTAGCTTATCGGCTAGTCTTTACCAAACATAATCAGACAACAACTCTCTTTTCAGTAAACACCTAGTTTTTACCAAACATAACTAACTTATAAGATACAACTAGCTTATCAGTCAAAAGCTAACTTATCAGTTATTTTGCTTTTAAACCCCCAATAGATTTCTGATGAGAAAAGACTCAAAAATCATGTGACCAAAGAGAAAACAAAAACAGGGGCTTTCACATTTCGCTTTCAAGATTGGGACCCATGAGGTACAGTGTAATTAAAAGCGTCTTGAAAACCGTATCTGCATCTATACACCTTCAGATATCACCCATAACTTGCACCATCTTGGATAAAAATGGACCACTTCCTTCTCCTTCCATCAATCCAAACGATCCCATTATATCCCGCTCAAGAACAGGGTCTATCAGATAAGACTTTTTTACCCCGAACAACTAGAGCAACTTAAAATTCCCAAATCCAAACCAAATCAAACGATCCCAGTATATCTCCCTCAAGAACAGCGTTTATGAGATAAGAGTGACTATAACGACCACAGTATGTCCCACTCGAGAACAGGATCTATAAGATGAGATGTACACAAACCTCTTGTTTACCCGAAATAATAGAGAGACTACTTTTCTTAAAAATTCCCAAATCCTGGAGCAATGAATTAGTTTCATTGCAGAATGTACATAAAAGAGATTCCTTCTGTGCCCAGAAACATAAGTTGACCCATCACTAGGCTGGCTCCTGCTTTTAGGTGGGGACTGGGGTTGGGGTGACCTTAATTTATTGAACCCTTTTCTTGCTGGTTTAATTGTTTTTTTTTACATTTTCAAAGTTATGTTCAAATAAAAGGACACTTTATTAGGGGTTATTATCATAAATAATTACCTCGTGAAAACAGTTTTGCGTTTTAGACACAGAAAGTTAACACCGTAAGGAACTTTTCTTTGTTTCTGACATCATCCAGATGAAAATGGGTCCACCACAGCTTGCGGCACCGCAAGAAAAAGTGTCTTGCAACGTTTGACTTACGGTTTCTTGACTATTTTTGTGAAACAAAGCTTGAAGAGTAATCTTTTTAAGCCCATATGGTTATTTATGACAATAACCCCTTTATTAGATTATATATCCTCGAATTGTGAGGACACTTTCTTGAGTCCATAATCAGTAGTACTACAGATTTCAAAGCATATATTTTTAATTAAATCCAACAATGTTGACCAAAGGGTTCCCATTACATTTGGATATAATGGGAATGAATGCCTTTTGTGCTTTTTATGCAACGTTAATATTAAAGAATTTGAAACATAACTCTGCTTTTTATGTTCTCTTTCTATCCTATTTCAACTAGTCGCAGATAAAAGCGTAAAGTTAAGTCCAAATTCATCAAGAACACCAACTAAAAATGCAAAAAGAATTACAACAAAGATTCTAAGTTATGGGTAAAAGCTTAAGTTGCATTTGGAGTCATCAAGAACATGCTATCAGAAGGTACAACTAATATTGCACAAACAACAAGACCCTAGTTGCATATAAAAGCTTTTGTTCAAGTTTGAAGTCATCAAGAACACGATAGCACCAAAGGGTCATTGGTCCAACAGTATCCGGATTAATATCAATAGATCTGAACCTAGGTCAAGAGTTCAAGTGTCATTCAACAAGAAAGGCACTAGGTTCTAGTTAAGTCATCAAGAACACGAAGGTGCAACGCACAACAAGAAATGCATTAATAATAAGCGTATGTAATCAAAAATCCAGTTTCGGGTAAAAGCTTGTGGTCGTGGTTGGAATCATCAAGAACAAGTAGTAGAATGTACAACTAAAGTTACAGAAATAACAAGTGCACATTGCACACAATCAAAAATTCTTGTATCGGGGAAAAGGTACAAGTTCGAGTTGCAACTAAGCAACCCAAAGAATAACAAGTGTCTATATGATCAAGACTCTTTATGTAAGACTGGGTGTCATTTGATATTTATAAATTTTATCCCAAATGGGTATCGCGACGTGCACTTCACTAGTTTAATAGGCAAGTTGTGGTGTGCACGTAAATTTTGCCATTTATTGTCTTAAATTACAAAAATATTAAATACAATAAATCTATAAACTTATATTGGCAACACACACCCACATATATATATATATATATATATATATATACAACAACGCAATCAAATTTGTGGAGAACAACAACGTGGTTAGTGTTCTTAGACTAGACATATACTTAAACAAATGGTTAGAAACTCACATTCGACAAATTTGATTGGTTTATTTTATTGATGGCATGGCATAATGGAGTTGTTTTTTCATCCCAACCCACAGTCAGTATCGAACCAAATCAAAACCAAATGCAGAGCATCCCTTAGCATGTTAAATGTGAGATTTTGAACAGGGCCCCTGAAATTTTGGGGCACAAGTTTACATGTGATCAAGGTCTTTTATCAACCTGTGTAAAACTATAGCTGAAATTATTTAGATTCAAACCATTAATCATTTAGTTTTAGATTCAAATCATTAATGGTTTAGGTTTAGTTTCAGATTGTTAATCGTTTTAGGTTTAACCCATTTTTGTTCTTAACATATATTCTCTTTTATCTCATTTATGCAATGTAATCAAAAGTTTTGGATGTAGCAGAGCCTCCAAAAGAATTGGAACGTCCCTGACCAAATGAACCCGGTATATCTTATTCGAAAATATGTTAAGTATCATTCAAGAAACCTATATGAGCAATATTATCTTCTAAAATACTACCTTTAAACTTCCCCTACCTCTTTTTGCTTTTTTAAACTTTGAAACCCTTTATTAGCTTTTAAGATTTAGTAGAAAAGTTCCATGTACTCTTTCTTTTAAAACTAGATCAACCTGAACCTAAAGTGTAGATAAGGTTTAGTGCTTAACATCATCATCCATAATTCTTTAAACATAAAAGGCAAAACAGCAAGAACCGATAGAACTTACATAGCCAGAAGCAAGCTTGAGTTGGAAATAATGAATTTCGATAGGAGTTACAGTCACGTGGACGCCAAAGAATGTTGCCGGATTCCGGTAAAAGATCTTGACTGTTGAATTCAAAGTTAACATATCTGTTGGTACGCCTGTTGCATCCATCCCAGATTGGACATTAAAGTTGTCAAACACCATGCTCTGAAAAAAAGAACAGCACCCACATCAAGAACAAGTTTTTAGGTGGTCCCTGATTGGTTTAAGCTTGGCCTCCAAAAGTCAAAAGTGCCTAGAGGTCCCAGCTTAAAATCCAAGGAGGAATAAAAATCCCCTTTTGGCCATGGAGGTTCAAATGCGGTGACTCCAAGCTACCCGCAAAGCAGTTGGTCGTCTAGGATTAGTAGGCTCGTATAACGAGTTGGTTATCCAGGTTAATAAAAAAAAGCAAGTTTTAAATTAAAAATTCTGAGAAAGCTGCTGGTATTGACAGAAAGTAATGAGTGAAATGCTAAACGAGTTGCAAAGCTAAAACACTGAGTTGGCTCAGATTTTTATCTGAGATTCAGTAGAACTTAGAGTAATTCCTGATCTATAACACTCCTAACTCTAATACATAAACGAAAATTGCATAATTCTACAAAGCATTAGCAAAACATTGTGAATCAAGAACAGTATATAAGACAGACTCACAGCTGAGTCAACTCAAATTTGCCAACATTAAATCCCCACTCTACATGTAAGTGGCAAAATTGTATCACAATGGAACCATTTTCCCATTTATGACAACCCATGAGTGAGTCAATCCAGAGCTCTTTTAAACGAAGCATCTCTCACTCAATATACCTAATAAAGGAGATAATATTTGACTTATTTTACCTTCAAAATATTCTCATATAAATGTTCCAAAAACCGAGTTAACTCACAATTAGCAGCCTAAAGAAACAAACCCATAAATTCAGGTTCACAATGTTGAAGAAAAAACTCTATGAAGTTTGATTGTGTGTGCATTTTTGCAACTAAGAAGAAGAATGGCAAAAGCCCCATTTGCCGCCCCTATTACCACAGTTATACAAACGTGTAGTTCAAGGAAATCGAATTCCGCACCTTAACGAAAACTTTGGGTTTGTAGGGAAAGCTAGCCGCCCACAAAATCAAAGAGAAGATAGTAAACAAGACGACGAACGACAGCACGAACCATATGACGTAAAACCTGCGAGGAAACCCACCACCATCATCACCGTCGTCGTCGTCATCCTCATCCACCTCACCATCCTCGATCCTCTTCCAGGGAGAAAGAGCTCTTCCGGCGTGGCCCTGGTGATGGGCCCTAACGACGGCGTTCTTGATGGAGGCAGAAAACGTCCTGGAAGTAGAGGATTCACGGGAATGGTGAATCGGAGAACAGTGGTAGTGAGTTGGGTGACCTGGAGACCCAAATGGGCTAGACCCAAATGACATCTTGTCGTTGGCATCGTGGTTTGACGGACTCTGAACGTAGTAGAGCGGCCGGCGAGGTGATCGCGGCGGCGTTAGAGCTTCAACACTGGTCAAATCGGAGTCAGATTTGACATGCATTGTGACACCCATAAAAATGAAATTATGGGCAGAAAAGAACGGATTTGAAGGGGTTTTGTTTGAAAATTACGAGACACGGTATTCCCTCTCGAATGGGGGGTTTGGTTGATGGTGGTGTGGTGGTGGCCAACGTTTTTGGGCAGGAAAATGGGGTTCGTGTTTTTGTTTCCTACATATAAGCACCCGAGTTTGGATAAACCATCAACCCCGGGGACTATTAAAAACAAAATGCTATGATTATTATTTGTACCCAATTTCGTATTTTATAATCTAATAAATTAATTTTAATTAATATTTAAAATATTTCCTAAGTAAAATAGAAATAATAAAATTTCTAAATTGAAATTAACAAGATTTGAGCTTTTTGGGTATGGATGGGGATTTTCATAGGCTGAATTTAGCAAGCAATCAAAGGTTTTAATTTACAGTTGTTTATGGGGTGGTATAGTACGTGAAGTCGATGTTTACCTAAACACTTATTTGGTAAACGTATACTGGCTAAATTTAACATTATCATTTATTTACCGAATACGATTTTATTCACCAAAACGTATCATATGCAACAATTTATCTCGGTAAGCGCTAACCATGATAAGAGTCATCGTCCTCACTTACCAGGTGAGACTCTCGATTCTTGTCTTCGCTCTTACAAAGTAAGATTCTTCGTCCTTGTTATGTTCATCCGGTAAAGTAATGTGACTTGGTAAGCACTTACCCGGATGAACATTTGGTAAAATCCATTAGAAAAGTAGTCTAAGGGGCCGTTTACCAAACGCTTACCATTTACCAAGTCACATTACCTTACCAGATGAATATGGTAAGAACCAAAAATCTTACCAAATAAGAGGGAGACAAGGACCGAGAGTCTTACCCTGGTAAGTGAGGACGACGACTATTACCATGATAAACACTTACTCTGTAAATTGTTGTATATGATGTCGTTTTGATGGACTAATGTCTTACCCGGTAAGTAAATGATAGTGTTAAATTTTGCCGGTAAATGCTTACCGGGTAAGTGTTTGGTAAACAGCCCTAAGATAACCATTCACGAAAAAGAGGGTGGGCTTAGGCAATGAAAAAAAAAATCGGACAAACCCGTCTTGTTCGTTTATTTTTTATAATTATCTGAATTTTATAAACATTTATACCTGATTACTTTTTTGTTAAGAAAAAGAAGCTCGGTGGTTGGTTTTGGGTTAGACTTCCTCTACCTGAACTAATCGCCTCCTGATCTTGAAGTATCTGATGGTGAAATATTTATTTGTTGAAACAGCAAATGATCATTTGTATTTTAAACGCACTTGAAGAAAATAGGTCGGGTGGTGGTGTGGGCCCAGGCTTGAGCTTATTAGGACCGAGTTTTTTTAGACTTGGTTTCAGTACGAGATTTTTTTGTGTATCTTTAGCTGAAGTTATCGAATTATAAATAGATGTATAGGGTTTCATTACGTTTGATGATCTTGATTTTTGTTGTCAAACATTTCCATTTTGTTGGGAAAACACGTAACATGTCCGGTTTATGCATGTATATCATGAGAATTTGAAGCAACGTTATAGAAGATGTTGATACATCTATACTTTCTTTTTTAAGGGTCTTAATTTTATATATTGTACTTTAAAACCAGAGTTCAAGAAAATGAGAAATTGATCGTCAAATATATTACGTTTGAAGTGATTATGGGGGTGTTGGGAAATCCGCTTCCACATATGTAGGAAGTGGAAATGCATATGGGTTTATACATGGATTTTCATCTGGTTAAGAGAGTTCATGTATCCATAACAGGTGTATTCATGGGCCAAAACTGTTTTCGGATTATTGAACTTGTTCGCTAGCAGTACATATGTTGCACCGACATTGACCAAAAAGTTCATAGCCAAAATTTTTTGAATAGTTCACTTTTCATAATCAATTATGATTATGTAACTCCTAATATAACGTCGAATCGACAGTTATAGCCTTATGATTATGAATAATTATATCGATCAATATATTACTTCATACGTAATTTATATACGAAGTTAAAAGGAGTTAAATGGCATAGTACCAGTTCATCAAACAAAGAAAGTAATTTATAATTCAAAGATGGTTTCAATGCATTACGATATTACTTATCTTGATAATAAGAGATTGTTTACCCAACGTTTACCTGATATGTGTTATCGATAAAAGTTAACACATTCATTTAACTTACTGGTAAAATTTTAATCTATTAAAACGACATCGTATGTAACATTTTTATCCGGTAACAACTTACCAGGTAAGAGTTGTCAATCGCATTTATCATATAGGTCTCTAGGTCCTTGTCATTATTCTTACTAGGTAAAATTCTCAATTTTTGTCATATTTATCCTAATTCTAGGATGATGAAATTTGAGTTTAGTTTTTAATGATTTTTAATGATTTTCAATAATTTTGGTACTAAAATATCGATAAGAAAATTATTTATTACAATAATAGAAAAAGAATGATAAATTAAATAACAATTAATATAAAAAATTATTAGTAGATGAACCGAACTCATTCCGTTAACTCAAATAAATAAATTAACAAATACGTTTATTCTTTTATAAATTACACCATTATAATCGTCTGTTCAATAAGTTCAAAATGAATATTGAATATTTTTTGTTTTAATATTATTATTAAATATCGTAAATACATATGAATCATTTTAAAAAACTTACACTTTCTATTCTTATGGTTTTTTATTTAATCTCTAATTATAAGAGTGTAAAATGTAATTGTCAAAAATAATTCGTAATTATTAATAATATAAATTAAAAATACTCAATATTGAGTTTATTTTGAACGTATTGACGAGACGATTGTAGTGATGTAATTTATAAAAAAAATGTATTTTTTTTATTTATTTTAGTTAATATACGATTATGTGTGTTAATACAATAAATGTGTACAATGAAAAATGAAAAACGAAAAACAAAGGATATAAAGTAAATTAAATAGCTAATTATAAATGTGTAAAATGTATTAAAAAAAATTAATCAATTAAAAATTTTGCATATCTAGAAAAAAAAATATTTAAAATGCCTAAAAAATAAAAACAGTTTAAGGAATTGAATATTTATCTAAATTTCCCAACAAAAATATAAAAAGGTTGAATTGGAAGGGCAAAATTGGGAACTTGATGGATGAAAGTTAAGACACGTCATCGTCCCTTTACTAAAACTGGAGGCGACTACTATGGTTGGACTCCATGGGTAAGTGCTAGGGTTTTGACCCTCAACACACGGTTTTGGCATCCAACCAAACTCAAATTTGAATAACCATTTAGACAAATACATGTATATGTATATTTATTACATTAGGGTTGGTTTTCGATGACAATAAAAATTAATGTGAGAAACGTAAGAAGGGATAACAATAATTTGTATGAGATGTACCAGATCAATCTCCGTATCAAGCACGATTCATGGGTAGGTTTGAGATTAATTAATATTACATTTAATAATAAATATTAATTAATCAATTAATTAATATTATTTATTATCTCTTGATATTTATAACGTGTTTATCTGATGTGTACAATGTTCACTTAGTATTCATAATCTATACTACATATATAACCATTTAGATCATTGTCTTAAATACAAGTTACTAAGCATATGGTACAATGGTTTTATGCACCAAATTCAAAAATCTCTTAAARACAAGTCATAAAGCATATGGTACAACCTTTTTATGCATGAACTTTAAGAGAGAAATGCAGAGCTTCTTCTATTTTGGTTAAGGTCAAATATGCTTTTTATGTTCTCTTCTTTTCTACCTTCTTCCTCATGAATACTCTGCTCCAATCCCATCCCCGCCAAACCATTTTGGGTAAGTTGAAAAACCTTTCTCTATTTTCTTCTTTTCCAGCTTCTTCTTCATGAAATTTCCTGCCCCAAATCGAAAATAGTAAGGTGAGCATTAGATTTCTTCAATGACTGCAAACCTTGCACAAATGGGAGGTTCCCAAGAAGTCTTCAGCGTTGCATATAACCAGGCTTTGGAGGTTTTGATTTCTACACAGCTTCTTCAAAGCCCTAGGAATTTCTCTGAGGTAAGGTTTTGTTTTCTGAATTTTTTTTCTAGATTTACATATCAAATGGTTAATGGTGATGGCCTTATGGCTGCCTGCTGGTGTGAAGTCTTGTTTACATGTTGGGGGGGGGGGCTGTTTCCACTGATGGTGTAAACAACACACATATGTTTCCGTTTTCATCTTATATTCACATGCACACATCTGTTTCCATTTTCATCTTTTATACACATCCACACATTTGTTTCCATTTTCTTGTATTTATCAAGTTATAAAGTAAGTTAATACAACATTTGATTAGCACCTTGTAAACAGGTTGTAAAATCCAGATAATGTAAATTCTCTAAATCAGTTAATGTAAATTTTGTAAATATTATTTTGCCAAAGCAGCAACTCCATTTCATGTTACACAGACACTGTTTGGGACTGCTGTCTGGTTATGGACTTAYAAACCAGATAGCTAAGTCCATCTAAGTCAAATATGTGTCTAGCACTGTCCAAAGGAATAACTCAAGTGTTTATTGGCTATACTTATGTGATGTGTATGTGTGTGTGTTTAGATACAACAACAACTAGAGGTCTGATTAACCATTCCCTGCTTAAGTAAGTTTCATCATTTTTCATAACCATTAAGATGGACTGTTATGCAGCAACCAGAGGTGAAATGTGTGTGTATGTATTGTACTCCAAATAGAAACAACTAGATGTGAAATGTGTGTGTATGTATTGTACTCCAAATAGAAACAACTAGAGGTGAAATGTGTGTGTTTGTTTAGATACAGCACCAACCTTTTATCATTTATGCTTTCTATGTGTGTGTATTGTACTTCTATGTGTGTGTGTATTGTACTTCATGGTTTTGTTGTTAAAGGATAAAAACAGCCCCCCCACATGTAAACAAGTTGGAAATCCAACATTCTATTTTGATCTTCTGTCTCCCATCTCATCATGAAATTTAATATATAATGTCAACACTGATTTGGTTAGTTGTGCATTTGCTTTTTTGAACATTDAACATAAAAGGATCAAAGTACAATGAACAAAACCCATTTACTTCATGTAAATGGTCCTGAAAACTTTTTGTTTTGTGTRCTTACAGGTTCAACAGCAGCTTGTGTTTGTGTGCTTACAGT